TTCGAAAGGTTGCGTGGAACAAGACCTACAATAAAATGCTTCAAGATTACCTCGGGGAAGCTAATAAGGTGTTGGGAAGGAACGTAGCCTCTGAGGAAGGCCGTTTCAGTGTAGCTCTCCGCATTTTTACTTCCGGCCATCAAACGTCGGCCCAAGCGTTACCATCGAACAATGAGTTCAATAACTTCAAGCGGCGTCTACTCAATGGAAAGGATCTTCGCCATAGAATGGCTCAGCAAAGGCGAGCGCAGCGTCGCAGAACGTAAGAAAGCTCAAGCTATAGTTTTTGGCCTTGAAACCAGACGTCCCCAATACTAATCGTTAGTCCCTTTCTTGAATAATGTAGAGGCGTACCATCATTCTATATAGCGGAAGGGTCACATAGGAACCAGTTCCGGCCCATCTTTTCTGACAAGGCGAGCATATTGAATGGGCGCACAGTTGATATCAGTAACTGCCGTCAGCACGATAGGCCGGGCCTTAAGCATCCACCACGTCGGAAAAAGGCAAAAAAGAAGCAACAGAAAAAACAAAAGCGGAAGCACAAAGGCAAGAAGCCCCACAGGGCTAAAAAAGAAGGTGCACCAATTAGGAACTTGAAGGATGCTACGAAGGTTGACCACAGCTACAGCAGTAAGCACCCTATCAAGGCCTTAACAATTGGGTCCCTTAAGGCCTCCATGGCAAGGAAAGGCGGACTGGACGCAGATGAAAGGGATAGTATTGCAAGCCAGATCCGAGGGGCAGTTGTTGTCCTCAACCGACTACGCCGCTATGCATACTGGGTGATTGCCTTGGACATTGAGAGGATCATGCGGTTACCAGGGGCAGCAAAGTCGAGGAAAAAGGCACTGGACGAGGTCTTGGATAGCAATGATTATTCCTTCCGTCTCGCCACCCTTCTTTTGAGTGGTCAAGGTGGCCCCAATTCAGCTTACGCGAGGGCAAAGAAACAAGGAAAGGCGGTAGAAACGCCCCATCATCACCTCGCTTATGAACATTTCAAGGCCACCACTGAACTTTCCCCAATAAAGGATATAGACATCACATTGGGGGACGTCCAAGGCTTTGATCCCAAAAAGATCACATTTCCAAGAGCGTCAGACTTACTAATGGGCCAAGTACAGACATCATTAAGGCAGCACTACAGGAACGCAATGGTATAGCTTGTGTAAGGTATTTTCATGCATATTCTGCAATCAAATGCTCTTTATTCACACCTTTTTTTTTTCTTTTTTTTTCTTTCTAGTTTGATGTCGAGAAAACAAACGAAGATATGAGTGACATTGAGTTTTTTTTGCGGGAGAACAAAAAAGTGAAAAAATACTCAGACTTTCCTACGTCCCCCTGGTCACCCGGGTATGTGTATCTGTCTGAACACGCCCTAGTTGACATCCTCTGGGCGAACGAAGATACCAAGCAGCTGCTGGAGCGTATTCTGCCTCTCAATAATGCTTCCAAGACTGCAATGTATGAGTGTGTACAGGGAACAAAAGGGGTTTTGATACAGGCTCTCTTTTGTGACATTGGAGGTGATCGCATGGTTCGTGGATATCAAGACAAAGTATCCCTGCAGTCACAGGACAAAGATCTAACTCGGTTCAAACTCAAAGGAACGATTTCTACCAACGGTCTAGTTCTGAATCTACTTGCCTATGACACAACCCAGACGAAGAGACAGCAGCAGTCTGACGTAGATGAAGAAGACCCCAGCCAAGAACTGGAGCTTTCTCAGGGATTTCTCAACACGACGTGTTCAAAGGCGGCCGGTGAAGACCTGACAGATGAAGACTACGCAAACATAAACTGGAAGAGGAGCTCCAAGCTGCTTGAAAACGTTGAGCTCACATTCAACAAACCAGGGCGATGCCTATCCGCAAACACCACAACTATCGTCGGATGTGATCCTGGTATTGTTAACGCCCTTACGTTTTCCTCGCTGGACCCTCACAACCCTAACTTGCGGCAAACGGTAAAGGTGAGAAGCAGGTTCTTGTACCTCCCTGTCCTCCGCTTCAATCACCTGTTGAACAAAAGGAAGCGTGAAAAAGGAATGATTGAGGTTGAGAGCGCCATCCCTGTGTTTGGAAGGGATACGTATAATGAGTACTTTCAATGGATGAACGAGGAGTCTCAGACACAGACAGGATCAACGAATTTGGATGTGCTTCAAGAGTTCTACGAGTCCAGATGGCACCTGAAAAAAAAAATGGGGCCTACGAAAGGCTCAACGAGCTACGTTCGACTACGCGGTACAGCGAGTGTTGAAGATGCTTGGGGATAAAGGAGTACTTGTCGTCGGCCTGGGGTCCTTTGAAAGTAGTAAAGGAGTTCCCAGCAAGCACACTGCTATAACGAGACATCTTGTCACACAGGTATGGCTTTTTTTAAAAAAGTAAGCAAAGCTGGAAAGCCATAGAACCCTTGCTAATAAACGACTGCCATTTGAAACGCTTAGGTCAAAGCACGAGGACACTTCGCTGTAGGAGCGCACGAATTTTACACCAGCGCCCGCTGTCCCCAACCCCTCTGCGATAGCTTTTTAGAGACGGTGTACCCTCGCTCTGAATATTCCAGGACATGTAAGGTATTCTTCGACTGTGACGCAGTAGGGGCGGAAAACATCGCAAGAATCGGTCTTGCTCAAATTGAGAGACAAGAGAGACCTGCAAAGTACAAGCCCACGGAAGAGTCGCCTGCTCCAGCTGCAAAGCGCGCACGACGCTAGACACAAGTATTTGGGTGCCGGCACACCCACAAAAAATTTGTAAGTTCTGTTTATTTTCGTCTCCTGTATCCATCCTCTCTAATCTTTTGCCCCTGAATTTCTGGACTAACTTTAAAAACCGTACAGATCAACAGATACGTCTCAGTTATGTCACTAAACTGTAAGTCACAGCTGCTTTAAAAGGCAAGATATGATACCAGCTAGAGTCTCAGACTACGCTTTAACTCACCTTCGCTTAATAAGCACCACCATTGGTCTCCCTGAGGCTGGGAAAGCGTTTCTTGCGGCATATCTTCCAGAATATATAATCGGTCTATATTCACCTTTTCTCATCTATGCATATAACGGCGCATTACAAGGAACCCCTTTCAACTCATTCTTCGCCTGTATCATTGATTGGATTTTTCAGTCCCGTTTATTTCTTTCACAAGTACTCGAAATAACTCGGGATCACCAGGTTTTTTTTTTCTCACTTTTGACGCCGTTACTTGACTCTTTCAATATACCAGTGGTTGGAGGATTATTCGCACCTCAACATGCATGGGCATTTACGCTTTTTATGTTGGAATGATGACCCTTTGTGGCGCACCCAGACATAATCTTTAGCCATTTATAGAACTCTAATGACGTTCCTCCGAACTGACCGACTTGTGGGCGAATTGCTCTGGAAGATGATATCTCGAGCGCTCATAAACATGGAACAATTTGAGTGTTAAGTTAGCCTTTGAGTAATCATTTCTTCTCTTCTTTTTCTTCTTCTCTTAATGTGCGTGTTCATGTATGTCAGCATGATGAAAAGACTTGCCCAAACAAAAGAATGGTAAAGAATATGCACAATTCTCAAGCATAGCGTTTTGCAGTCATTTATATGTGGGTTTCTATTACTTTATTTCACGAAGATTTATAAAGCATAATAAAATTTCTTTTGTTCTCGTTACTTGTTATGATTCAAGCACATCGCTATACTTACTTTATTCTGTATTCAAAAAATAAAATAAGGGGGGGGGGGGGGAATGCTTACTGTTGCGCTCTGTGGCCACTACACCTTACATTTCGTCTACACCATGAATGTTGGCGGGATATAAATAAGGATTTTCTATTCGCCGTACGGCATTTAGGAAATAAGATAGAATTGTAAAGTTCCCTCCACTAACCCGCCTGCGACATTACCATTTATCTCGGCTTTTGCAACGCCTACTCTGCCCAAGAGTCCATTGGCACACACCATGCCATTTGGTCGAAGTGAGGCGTAGAAATTGGTTGTCGCCCCTAAATGAATTAACCTTCTATTTTTAAAGGTATGCTGAATTTAAAACTTTTTACGCGAGAATGGGCGTAAATTTCTTTGACATTTAATTTCAGATAAATATATAATACTTTTAAAACCTTAATTCATGTCACGAACGACCGTATGTCGAAAAGATCATCAAAATGAAACTTCCTTTCTCAATTCTACTGTAGATCAAACTTTTTTGGAGTCTGAATTAAACAGATGGTTTTTGTTTAACTGGCCACCTTGTAAAAAAGTGCGACCAATGGTCGCAATTCAAGACAAGGGGTAACTTTACTGCTTTTCCATAACTCCAGATCAAGCACATCTTTAAATAAATTAAGCTCTTCCAATCAAAAAGGGCGAGATCGGTAAAATTAAGGCTCTCAGTGAAATCAATGGACAATATATTTGTTCGCTTCATCATTTCCAGCAATCTTTTGGACACATCTCTTTACAATGAACAGCCATAATCATTCCAACACCAATGTCGATCAAACCAATACTCAAGATGGCGGTTATGGTGTGCAGCCGTCGCAATCTCAGGAGAGTCATCATTTGCCACAGCAGCAGCCATTAGCCCAGATTGATACTCAGTATGATGAGAAACAATCCCCACTATCCCCACTATCACCACAGGCCACTACCTCGAAAAAGAGGAGGACCTTGATGAATATCAATCCAGCCAAAGCTGTAGTTGGGGGAATAACCCAAGGCACCCAAGTCGTTGTTGGTGGTGTATCCACTGGAGCACAGGCTGTTCGCGGAGGCATCTCCACAGGTAACTTGAGCTTGTTTTTGTCAATCACACTTGTATCACTTAAGGACCTTACACTCTTGATAAAGCCTGTAATTTCAAATTTAAATGAATGAACTTGTCCCTCTCACAAAGCTCTTCTATCCTCTCGTACTACTTGTTGTGTACAAATAGTCGAAAAGGGTGTCACAAACGTTGGTACCAAGCTGAACAAAGTCCCAGGTGTCAGTCATGGTGTCTCCTTCTTTGCTGACTATCGAAAGTTTATGGATCGAGGCAATGTCATCGACTTGGCTGTAGCCGTTGTTATTGGTAATGAACTATTTCATTTCTTGCTCAGATTCTTACTTTTTTTTTTTTTTTTTTTTTTTTAAAAAAAAAAAAGGTTGTCTTATAAGCTTCATTAGAATTGAGAAGAACTTACTGACACATATTCATCTCTCATTAAATACTTCTTGATGGTTTCTTGGTATAGGTGCTGCTTTCACTGCAGTAAGTTCTGAGAAACTATAAGATGGAAGGGTATAACACTGGCTATCATGTAAATTAAGTCTTACTCTTATTATATTAGATTGTCACCAGTTTGGTTGCCGATATCATTACCCCAGTGTTGGCTTTAGCCTCTGGCAAAAACTTGGAGGAGAATTTCGTCATTCTTCGGAAAAGTGATAATGCCACAGCGGAATATGTAAGTTATGTTCTCTAAGCCGACATGTTAATAGTAATCAATGAAACCATAAGCTTTTTTCAAACTATTGATCATAACTAATGAATGCAACACAGCCTACCACCAGGCAAGCCGCGAAGGATGCAGGAAACATTACTTGGAACTGGGGAAATTTCCTTCAAACAGTGATCAACTTCTTCATTGTTTCTGCATGCGTGTTTCTGCTTGTCAAATGTAGGTATCATATCTTTCCGCTTTTATAAAGCTTGACCACATTATCATACATTAATCTAACTTCTCTAATTTACTTTCTAAACCGAGAACAGTGTATGAGGTTGCTCGTAACAAAAAGACGGAGGTTTCAGAGAAAAAGTGCGAATATTGTTTGAAAAGCATTCCTTTGGATGCTGTACGTTGTCCAAACTGTACGACCTGGCTCGATTGGGATGCATGCGCCAAGGCTGCAAATATGGAGCGTATAGCTGCGTCAAGCTTTTCAGGCATGTCAATGCCCATGTCAATGCCCATACCCATGCCCATGCCCATGCCCATGCCCACACCCATGTCTATGCCCATACCCATGTCTAATACAAATGTGGACACACCTTTAGATTGATCAACTCATAAGATAGCTGTGGCTTAAATTTTTCAGACTATATTGTGCGTTGTGACTAAAATAATTTTGTTCCCTCTTTTTGCTGGCCATTCCAAATGAAGGTGCTTATCTATACAATGGATATGAGTTAATAGCTATTGGGTATCCATCCATTCAGTTGAAGCATACAAATGTGCTTCATCCCTCCTAAAACATCGCCATTGCTGGCTAGAGATTGTGCTATACTTCTAGACAAGAACTCAGGAAAAAAAAAAAAAAAAAAAAAAAAAAAAAAAAACGGGCTATAGCTGGACCTGACTTCAACATATCGTTGAGACAATGTGTACATGGCGAATGCTGCAGCCAGGTGATTACAGGATGTATTTGAAATAACTGATCACTGTTGTGCTTTTTATGGCATACACATGTCATATTACTATTACTGGAACTATAATAATGGATCATAACTGGATGGTGCTACCTTTATACCGGATTCCATCCAATAATCATGCAGCACAGGAGTTATGGATTGCAAAGTTTTTCAATTTGAATGAGGAATTATTACTGCATCGCAACAACTCAATAGATTCGGCGTATCAAAACATGAAAGAATTCGCAGCTGATAGTCCACTTTTACTTCTTTATTATCAACAGCTGAACATTGCCAACCCAGCCACTGGCTGCCAGAAGACCATCGAATTCGATGATGAGCGCAAGACGTAAGTGTCCTATTAAAGACATCAACGAGTTTAGTTTTTGCGCTTTAAGATGGCTTCGGTTTTGCGTCATAGTGGGCAATAAGATACATGCGGTTTTTATCAAGAGATTTATCGAAGTTGTTTGTCAAGACAATATGGAAAAGAACTGGAAAATCAGCTGATGCTAGTACGAATATCGCGCAATAACATGCTTAGGAACAATAGAGACATTGGCGATTAACTTTTCGACTTGCATCGATCCTATTAATATAGTCGCATCTTCTACGATAAGCGTATCTCTGCCGAGGTTGCTGTCGATTCCCTTGGTGATGAGTTCAAGGGCTACGTTTTCCGTATTACTGGAGGAAACGATAAGCAGGGTTTCCCTATGAAGCAGGGTGTTCTCTTGCCCTCTCGTGTTCGTCTCTTATTGTCGAAGGGTCATTCATGCTATCGTCCCCGCCGCACTGGAGAGCGCAAGCGCAAGTCTGTTCGTGGATGCATTGTCGGCTCTGATATGTCGGTCCTTTCCGTTGCTATTGTCAAGCAAGGTGAGCAGGACCTTCCTGGTCTTACCGACACTACCATTCCCAAACGTCTCGGACCCAAGCGCGCCAACAAGATCCGCAAGTTCTTTGTACGTACTATTAGCTTGGATATCATCTTTATTTGCTTATTTATGCTTTCTGGACATATACAAGATTTTTACGGAGATTATGAGGACTTCATCGCGGTTTTTAACAAAATATGAATACGCGATGATATGCGACTGAAACAAAAAAGAGCCGGACGTGGATGTTGCCATGATACAACAAGCAAAAAGAGGGCTTTTTTTTTTTTTTTTACATCAAAATGCATCACTCCGCTGATGGCACTTTACTTGTTATACCGTTTCTACTGACTTAGAACTTGAGCAAGGAGGATGATGTTCGCAAGTTCGTTATCCGTCGCGAGGTTCAGCCCAAGAACCCTGAAAAGAAACCTTACACTAAGGCCCCTAAGATTCAGCGTCTTGTTACCCCCATAGTTCTTCAGCGTAAGCGTCATCGCTTGGCTCTCAAGAAGCGTCGCGCTGAGAACGCCAAGGAGGCTGAAGCCGAGTACAAGGCTCTTCTCGCCAAACGCGTCAAGGAGGCCGCTGAGAAGCGTCAGGAAATTAAGAAGCGCCGTGCATCTTCTCTCCACAAAGCTTAATTACAGAATGTTTATGTTGTATATAAACTTTCCTATTGACTTTAGATATCTAAATGATCCAGATGTGGAAGCGAACTAAAAGAGTTGGTGATATAAGAGTTAAAGAATGTGCAACATAAATATTTTCTCGAGAGAGCGCGTTTGTGCACTCAAGACGAGCGTATTTTATTCTAATTTCTTTGAATAGATGCGTTTCATATGGGGATCCTATCAATGTGCAACAAAAAAAAAAAAAAAAAAAAAAAAAAATTAATATACAGATCATCAGTGACAATTTCGATCCATCTTGCCTTGTTTATTTTATTACCTCAAAAAACAAAACTGAAAACCAAAAGATGCTGTACATATCCACAGCAAGAATGTATCCAATAATGGATTGGTAATAGATAGCAGTCCCAAAAAGTGATAACGATGTTCCCACATATTGAGGGTCGCTCATAAACCTGTAAGGACCACCCTCAACCTAGTCCAACGATAAAACAGTCGTGTGAACAACTTTTGAGTTCTCAAATAACATGATAATTAGAGCATACATATTAAAGAGGATTACACTTACTGGTGCATCAAAACGAAAACCGAAGCTGTCGCCATTATACATGCCCTTGATACCCAGCGCCTAGAGAAACAAAGAATAGATCCACCACCAGCAGGGTTAATAGAATGAACATTCTCAGCTTCGAAAGAAAAAGAAAAAGAAAAAAAAAAAAAAAAAAAAAACGCGATTCTTACATTTAAAGTCCATAGGTTAAGTAGAACACCAAGAACGAAACAGACTGTCCCCACAGAAGTGGCAACAGCAGCAGGGAAAATTACGAACTAACAAGACCAATTAAGCAATGAGAGTAATATTCTCGGTTAACCAGAACTGCATATTCAAAAGGCCTTTACAGATGGCAAAGCATTGTGGTGAATAACGAACCGATCCGACATCTTGGGCAACAGCCAGATGGATGAAATGATCACGAATCAAGGCGCTCAAAACCAAGTAAACAGCATAAAAGTAAATGGCATTATTTCCAATAATCTATGAAAAAAAAGGAGTGAGTGTAAGCGTGAACATGTGCGCATTTGATATCTATCACATCAAGCCGTTCATCTGCTTTCTTTCTTTACCTTAGTGAACTGATGGGTGTTGTATTCATAGCGCGCAGTGATATTGTAATTCGCAACATGCAAGATCATTGCCACTAAAAAAAAAAAAAAGAAAAATCGATCTGTTAAGACCAGTGGACACTGTGGCTTCAGCACACTCCAGCCACCTTCCTCCTTTTTTGGTTTATTTTTATGCAAACGTACAGATGGCGTGAAGGCATGGCGGCGTGTTGATCTTATTCCAGAGAAACTCGATGAATTCAGGTGACTGCAGGTTAGAAAGAGTAGGTTCGAAGGAGGTCAGGACGCCCATTGTATGGTGTGATCAAGTTTGGAAGAGGAAAGAGTGAAAGTTGCACTCTAGTTGAAAGGTTTGTAGAGAGAAAGTATTCCTAAAAATGGTCACAAACCCCATGAAAATTTGGGGCAACCATCACATGCGTTTGAAGGTATGAAAACTTTATTCATTATCTATCTCTTCGTCTTTAAAGTCAAAGCCAAACACAAATCCAGCAGTGCCAGTGGCATCAGAACACGATGGCGCAACTGTTGGATCCTCATTTACTTCAGTCTCTCCTCCTCTGGTATTGTTGATATTATATCCAAGACCTAACTTGGCCTGCTCCCAAAACGACAGCTGAGCTGATGATTCTTCAATCTGGTTCTTACTCCACTTTTTAGAATGCTTAGATGCTTTCGACAGGAGTTCGATATCGTGCTCGTGCTTTGTCCACATCTCCAGTAGCTGCTTTCTTTTCGTTGTCTCTTCATGACTCAATTTTCCAACCTTTGATTTTTCCGTGTCGTTCTCCGAGTTTTCAATTTCTTGAGAGCTGTTCATTTTAAAGAACGCCTCTTTGAACTCCTCATACAGTCCTTCCTTGCGATCATTCTTTACTCCAGAGACTTGATCACGCTTTATGTATAGAAATTCCATCGTCTCCTTCAAGTTTTGAGATCCCACATAATTCTGGGTTACCGCTATGCTTTCTTCCAAGTTAACAACAGCATGCCACCATCCTCGAGGAACGAACATAACTTCACCTTCACGGCATATCCCTTCAAGTGGACGGTCTGCGGGGCCGTTTGGTAATTGAGTTGATGCATAAAAGTTGCTGAACCACTCCATCAGTGACACAGGTGAAGTTACTTCTGATTCGTCTATGGAAACGAGGAAATTTAAGTAATAATGATTTTTCAATCATGATACTGAACAGAAGAGTAATAAAAAAAAAAAAGCTATAATAATAATAGTAATAATAATAAAATAAAAAGAATCTACCTTCATTTGTAAAGACTCCTGGTGGAAGAATATGTGGTGGAAACATGATCCATTTTTTTGAACCCGTGATAACCGCGTTCCATGCTGACGTAGCATTGGGATCCTAACAAAAATAGGGGTCCTAGATTGAGTCTTTCGCAATCTTTGACTATAGCTTTACAATGTAAAGCACGGCGCAAGCCATACTTACTTTATGAAATGTTGATCCAGATCTGGCGGGACCTATTATTAGCCATCGATAATCAGGCCTTTTATCCCCCATCATCCCGAAAAAGTCTTCACGAAAGTATGGTGGAACCTCAATATCTTCTTGAATCCCATCGCAGCGCTCTACAAAATTTTTATCAAATAAATACAGCGGGCTCTCATCTTTGGTTCCAGCCGCATACTTCAGGTACCTGGCTATGGTCATTTCAACAGACTCGGCTCTCAGCAGTACATTTGACCATCTCTCCAAAAAGTATTCTGTCGACCATTTCTTCCTTGCAGGCCAATGTTGAGCCCCATCAATGATGATAACAGGCTTCCCCGGTCGTTCATACTCGTTCACAAATTCCTCAACCGTTAGATTGGACCGACGGTCAATGTTCTCAACTGCAATATAAGGCTCCATGCCAATGGCAGCACAATAAAAAGGTTGAAAGAGAACGTCGGAATAGAAACTCTTCAGCTTCATTTGAGAGCGGTTTTTAAGGATCATTGAGGTATCATACTTGGGGTCGGATCGTTTCAAGAATGTAGCGCGCCAATTGTCCTCTTCCCACTCCCAATCACCTCCGAATTTCTCGATTGTCAACGATTTCCACATGTCATCCAGATGTGTCAAACCGTAGAGCACCCTAGAGGCGGCACCCAGCGTCAACAGATCATGGGACGAAAGTAGATTAAGGATCTCCATAATTATTTCATCTGTAAGGCGAGAAAGAAGGCCTAGTGAAGGCCCTCGGCAAGAGCCTGTAAAATCTGGCTGGGTAGCATCCATATAGTAGTTGCCAAGAGGTTTAATGCCTAATGGGTGTTGCAAGGACATTATGTGTTTGGTGGTAACTTTGGGCCTTTCATAGCGTATAACAAGCCGTTGCTTCTTAGCATGGGGTTGTTGAGCTAACGAAGATGCTTCATGTGTTGGCATAATTGAATACCGAATTACCGAATTGTCTTCAAAGATGGTGAATGTTTTTATTCTCAAAAAAGATAAAAGAAAAAAATTTTCAGGTGTGACCGCTCAATAACCAGTATCTGCCAGAAATCATTTCTTCTACACAGTGGCAATGCAGGCCATTTCAACAAGGACATCTTTTGGAAGGCGAGCAACTTCGACGCAGGCACGGGCAGGAAGAGCACCATTCATGTTCTGTAGAATTTAAAATATAAAATAAAGTAGGCTTGGCTTAAGTAACTATATAATCACTTCGTTGCTGTGTCCTTTTTCCATCTTACCTTGGCATAGATCTTGTTAACTGCATCAAAGTCATTCATATTCTTCAAGTATACTGTAGTCTTGACGACCTGAGCGAAGGATGAGTTAGATGCTTGAAGTACGGCACTCATGTTGGCAAAGACTTGTTCCTATTTGATTACCAGCGATAACAACAAAATAAACAGATGGAGTAAGTAACAGTCATAAGTTAAGACATAGAATTAGATAAAATGTGGTCACCACCTACAGCCTGAGCTTCAACACTTTCAGGAACAGCACCGGACTGAGGGTTAATTCCAATGGCGCCCGAACAGAAAACAAAGCCATTAGCGACAATAGCCTGGGCTATTGTTGATGAAACGCGAGAATATGGTAAAAGAGGTTACTGTTGAATCTGTTGTTTCATATTACACGTCTTTCAAAAGTGAAATGTTTGGAGGATGCATACAGTATGGCCCAAGAGCAGCAGGGGCGTCATTGGTGCTAACAATCTTGTGGATAGTGGCCATGATTTGATGGAATGTTAAGAATGTGGGGATAGGATTGATGAAGAGTGATTTACAGCTGTCAAAACCATGTCGCGAAATCTACACAGTGCACTGATGCCTGGTAGGAGAATAACACAAGTCTCTCTCAAAATATGTCATACACAAGGCTGGGTCAGCTGATTTATTACTTTGTACAGTAAGTTTGTTCAGGCGCGCTTGGACACCCATTTTTGCTTCCTATTCTGTATATCTGCTATAACAGTTTGCCTTTCCCTATGTGGAAGTCGTGCTATGCTCGTATCAATCGCAAAGAAGCCCAATCTCCTCCATACATCCATCACCTCGCTATTATTCTGTCAAGACAATTCAGCGACAGCTTCCTCTCACTCTATTCTTTTTCTTTCCTTCTCTTCAGCTCTCTCTACCTCTAGTTGTCGCAGCAAAGATGGTGAGAGGAAGCCTTCGAGAGGCTGTCCAAGATGGTCATTGGTATCGACCGTGTTTCGGGCCTGCTCGAGTTAGGTACGTGCAGGTGCAGTATTGCATTTGACATTGATAACGAGCAGTAGAAAAAGTAAGTGAGAATAAGATGTGGGTCCACACACCACACCTATGGGGCATTTATTCATTTCTTAGTAGAGGGACTTGCACCAGGTAACTACGTATCTACCTATAAGATGACATGGGTTCATTCAAAACCCTCATGTCAAAGATTTATCGCGTCTTTGTGCGACGCGTTATTGCCACTAATTTCTGCTGCAATTTTTTAGCGTATTAATTTTGGTGTGTTTTTTACTAGTATTTTATCATTAATTTTCTTGGTATTTTCTAGGCCATCATTATATTGCATGCTGTGAAATATGCAACAGAATCCATCGCGGACCCTCTCTGCAAGGTACATGTGCTTGCAAGGAACTCTTTGTTTTTCATGACCAGGACATGTGCAAGACAGTGATCCTATGCGATATGAAACTTTGTCAATTATAATGTTTCAGATTAAAAATATTTACCAACTGACAAAGTTTCAGATCGAATAGGATTACTGGACCTCTTAAAAAAGTTTAGTTCATCCTTCTGCTCTTTTCTAGTAGCTGCTACTCCGACTCCTGGAGTTCTTAAGATTGTTGATAATGTATGCCTGACTTTCATGAGATGGATATAGTCTACTCTCGACATCTACACAGGCCTTGGGGTTATGAATTGCTACGATCTCTCTTTGCGCCATCTACCTTCAATAATTGTGGGTTGGTACGTCACCTTTGTTCGGAGATCAAATTGTAGAATGTTGCTTTGGAGAAGCCTTTGCCTGTCTTGTGGCCTTTGCGGTTTGATAACAGCGCGTTGGCTCCTACTACACATGCTTTTTTAGCCTAGATCAAGATCCAAGATCTCGATTGTATTCCGATTCCATCCCAATACATGAACGTTAACTTCTTTGGAGGTTACAAAATTCCTGAATTCGGTCAAGTAATAGTCTGTTCCGCCGATGGTAGGAGTGATCCTCTCGGGAAGCTTATCTTTGAGCAGTCGTCTATACTTGATAATATTTAGTTCTTCAATTTAAATGCAAAGGCAACTCGCCAATCGAAAACATGACATTTGTCTTTTCCTGAGAGGAATATAGATCACAATATGTTTTGGTTGAATTATGCCAGTGCACCTTTTTTTTTTCTTCCGCTTGTTTGTTTATTTATAAGTTAGATTAAGAATCATTTCCTATTGCTTACTTTGTCAAAAATCAGGTAATTCGCTTTTATAGCAAGCATGGATCTTGATCAAAGTATGTCAGCTGCTAAAATGCAGAGCCTCGTTTCTGTTGGCCTTAGTGAATTAAGTTGAAACCTCGTCTTGCATCACTACACGGCACCCTTGTTACAAAGCTAGTGCCCAGGCTATGGATAAGAGGTTATGTTTTGGCAGGCATCAAGCTTAATACTTCTCAGAAATATTTTTGATATAAGCCTGGCTCGAATCATCCTTGCGTCTACGGATTTACTGGCCGAGTTCATATGAAGCAGACATGCAGTTCAAAGTGCCAGATGATACTCCATAGAGACAGGATCCATGCAACACACCGACACCTTTCCAAGTTCCAACAGCTGTCGTATCTCCAATCGCCAGACGTCATCGACCGAGTGAGAGCATGATTTAACCCTCCACATCTAAGAATCTCTTTTTTAATTTTTTTTCTTTATGCTCTGCCTTTGTATTCACATCTTCTGTAGCCTTTGTTACCAAGGGTGGTTGTTTGTGATAAATACGAAAAAAAGGTAATACTTTGTAGCGAATATACAGCAATAATGAACGTGATGTTCTTCTCCTCAATGGCGAAAGCTTGGCCAATGTTGACTCTGTTGTACAAGTACGAATACAGTGTGCAGGCAGAGAAGGCAGTCACAATAGCATGGTCTCGACATTCATCGTTTGAAAGCGAGTAAGAGCAGCAAGACTGTCTAATGTGGGAAGTGGGGTGAGGAGGTCACATTATAGCAGAAATGCCACTGACCTACCAGTACTTCCCTTCTTTTCTATCTTGGACATGATTCAACTATTTTTTTTTTATCATAAAAAAAAAAAAAAAAAAAAAGAGCAATACCACATTCTAATACCCACCATATCAACTTTGCACGGTTCGAGTCCAGGGATTTATTCGCTAGGCGCTGCCGTGTATGGGGTAAAATACAATTAGTGAATGGTAAGAAATGCAAGGTAAAGTACATGACGAAAAGAGAGGAGCTGTTTACAAAGTTACGTCTGTAAACCATGACAGTAGGCCCAGACTGAGAGACTCGCACAAGTCGTGGTATGGAGGTGATAATAGTAATAACCCAACTTTGCTAAATAACCGAATTGGTACACTCCCATTTCAAATGAGATATCTTGTATACAATGAGTACAATAGCTCAAGACCTTGATCCATAAAACTGATCGGCAAAGATCCCCTTGTTATTGCAACTAAAATTGCTGAAGTATTGCCTCAAAATCCGCATCGAATTCTGTCATGGTACTGGTAGCATCCAAATTTCCGAAATCAATCCCGAAATCTCCATCAAATAATAGGCTTTCCAAATTCGTGGCAAGCTGCGGAGATGTTGTTCCAACCACCGTCGCGGAGGCATTGGTACTATCTTTGCATGAATGAGAACTCGATGAAGCTACGTTATCCGGCGGCGTGACAGGCGTGGTCCATGATTCGTTTGGTAAGAAGTCAAAAGTAAGGTCAGGTACTGCATTGTCGGCCGGGGATGGGGGTACTGAAGACGTATCAGTCAGTGGGACTGCTGATAGTGGTTTGGCAACGGTAGATGCAGATACAGATGATGCAGTCTTATTTGACATTGTTTTCAGTTCTGCGCAGACTGAATCTGCGGTATTGTCTCTTTCGACTGCGAGCGTTGCAACAGTTGCTGTAGGAACATGTAGAGCATTTTGAATCGTAGGCTTCAGAGACTTATGATTGTTAAGGCAGCGCTTCTTCACAGATCTATTTCTATTATCTGGAAGAGCTTTGGTTACATCAATCGTTGATGAAGTTCGTTTTTGGGAAATTTTATGAGTATTAGGCTGTCTCTTGTCAAGGATTGATGCTTTGAACGTGGCATTATCTTGGAAAGGATAAATACACTATTAATCGCACCACCCATACCAGAAGGAAAAGGTCATGATGTTAGTTACATATCATATGTGTACTTAGATAACAATGAGAAAAAAAAAAAAAAAAAAAAAACATGGCTTACATCTTGATTGGAGCACATCGTAAAGCTTGCATGAAATGAAATGATGTATTTGGCGATAGAGCCGCCACATAGTGGGCAATTTGATACATGGGGCATGTTGCGGCAAATGAAAGATGAAGAACAGAAAATTAGAAAAGATGCCCAAAGTAGTATTGTTTTCAATGTGGCTTAGACGACTTTTTCTTTTTTTTTTTTTTTTTTATTTTAAATGCCAGACAATCCTCAACATCTCTCAACACTTCTTCCCTTTAGTTATTCCTATTCACTATGCTCGGATTCTGGGGTATTTTAATACCATGCTTTCATCTAATTGAATTGTTGGATTTCATAGCCTGTCCCTAGGAGTTAAACTAAATTTTTGAATCATTCCAATGTTAATGTAGGCCTTACTGTTCTGCCTGAGAAGACCTACACACAGGTCGTTGAAAACTCCTTCAAGTTGTCAATGGTTAGAATGAATCCTATTATTTTTACTGGTTTATTGACATGAACTGTTCACTCAATTAATTTTATTATTTTTCCCTTATGGCATAATCATGATTTATAGGCAGCTCTGGATGAGAATGTTAAGCCCGGTCGTTCATCGGTCCGAGTCACTGTGGATAAAAAGACATTTGTCCTTTGTTCTTTGATTTCTGGAAAGGTCGAGCAGCAGACCTTGGATTTAGTCTTTACTGAGGGCGAGGCGATTACCTTCTCCGTCTCTGGCGAAAAGTGAGTTATTGACTGACCATGTAGTTCTGTGATTGTTTGCAGTACTTGTCATTACTATGAAGCAATCATGAGTTTGGCAGCTCAACTAATTTCTATGTTCCTTTAACAGCCCTGTTCACCTCTCTGGAAACTACCTTCCCGAAGATGAGGATATGGGCTTCGATGACGATGACGATGACGAGGCTGATATGTTTGATGATGAAGATGGAGATGAGGATGAGATGGATGACGAGGAGGATGAGGATGAGGATGAGGATGAGGATGAGAATGAGGATGAGGATGAGGAAGAGCAGGAGCAGGATGAGAATGTCATTGTCACTAAGGGCGCAAAGCGTGTCGCCAAATTTGAAGAGTCCACCAAAAAGCAGACCGTCCCTGAGAAGAAGCAGAAAGTCTCGGAGGATAAAGCTCTGCCTGTAAGTAAGGAGGAACCTAAGAAGGAGACACCGAAAAAGAAGGAGGAAGCTAAGAAGAAGGAGGAAGCTAAGAAGGAGGAAGCTAAGAAGAAGGAGGAGCCTAAGAAAGACGCGGCTAAGAAAGAGCCCAAAAAGGATAACAAAAAGGTCCTTGCCAATGGTTTAATCATCGAAGACATCAAAATTGGTACTGGCATGGCTGCGAAGTCGGGAAAAAAGATCGGCATGCGCTACATTGGTCGCCTCACCAATGGCAAAGTTTTTGACAAGAACACAAGCGGAAAGCCATTCAACTTCAATTTAGGTCGCGGCGAGGTTATCAAGGGCTGGGACCTTGGCATTCAAGGTATGCAGCTAGGCGGTGAACGTCGATTGACTATCCCCCCTGCTCTCGCTTATGGTTCCCAGGGTGCCCCCCCAGATATCCCTCGTAATGCTACCTTGGTCTTTGAAGTCAAGTTAGTCACCTTAAAGTAAAAATTCGCATCGGCATGCCTTTATTTATTATATTTTCTACTCATGTCATTTTGTCATTGTTCAAATAAATCCAGCATCCCATCATGATCGGCATCAAATTCTCAACTCAGTTACTGAAGCTAGTGGAAAAAGATACTGAGCGACACTCCAATGTTCTCAAATTTACTAACGCTATTGTGCCTGTAGATGCAAATGACGGTAGCATGACGACACGTGTGTGTTGGCCATCCTTGTCTATATTGATGCAAGAAAGACATATTTTGAGTTTTTTTTTTTTTTTTTTTTTTTTAAAAAAAAAAAAGACCTAAACTATGTAAACCAATTCGCTGTGAACAGTACCTGAAATAAGCTCTGTTGCGAATTTATCCTGATTTCCAATGAAGTAAATGTGTGGGCGCTGTTTCATAATAAATGGGTCTTTGTCCTTAAAAGGATAACACCCTGAAATAGCAAAGTCGAGAAATTAATAAATAAATCAGTCATGCTCATATCCATTGGCACGGGAAGAAATTTTAAATCATCGACTCACAGAGTGTGTCCGGCGCTGTTGGCGCCATATGTCCCCATTGGAGCGTCTTGACCGCCATCTCCAGTCGATTTTCAGACTTGGCATATTTGTAAATGTCGTCAATAGTTTGTCCAGAAGTTCCCAACAAAGTAATATCGTCGATACTACTCCAGTACGGATTTGTTACGTTATGAAATGTTGAATATCTGCGTGCAGATGGCAGTAATGCGTGATGAATAGGCTGTTGAGGAATTGTTACACTCGAAGGGTCACTTTCGCCAGGCATAATATCCACTGGGATACCGGAGCACACTTCACGAAGAAAGTTATCCAGAATCTTGATAGGCTCAGTGAAGTATGACGCTCTGTCGTACCCATATTTTTTCTGTCCTTGCGAAACACATAAGTCGTATAATAGCAACCACAATATCATAAATTAGTGCCTTGTGCCAAGTCCTAGTTCCTAATAGCTTTTAATGTAAGCGAACGATCTCCACTGTCATTACCCCTTTAGAATCATCCTCAACAATCTCTGGTGTCACAATTGAGTTCCCAGCGAAGATGACCCGTACAATATTGGCACATTCGGTTTGCTCCTAAAATGAGTAGGATATAGGGGACTTAGGAACTGCTTCTGCTCACATCACTAAGTACTATCGATTTTTGGCTTTACTTTAATATCGCCGATCTCTCCTGTCAAATACTCTGCCAACAGATCGAGCTCCAACGGCTTGAACGACTTTCCACCAATCCCAAGTCCCGAGACAAGTGCTACATGCTTATCTGCCTCATCTACAAATTAGCAATAGAGTGTTGAGTTCTCATATAGATAAATTTATGCTGCATCAAGTGGTCTACTTTCGAAAGATACCTGTCTCCATTTGGCGGATTGGCTCTTGTGGCGGCGGTAGCGTATAGCACACATCGACCACCTTAAAATCTCCATTTTCATCCTCGGACCCAAGAACGCCCATTATTATGCCTAAAGAAAAACACTCTTGTAAGATGAGTGGCTGTATCTTCGTTAAATTAAAAGATAGGCATTCATTGTCCTCATTCTCGTACCCGTTACAAACAAGCCGTCCATTACTGCCATTCCAGTAAGCTTAACTCTTCCTGATTCATCCTCTAGATATACAGAGTCGTCGTCCCCTATGTATTTTGGTCTATCGGGTTGAGCCGCGATCCAGTGCTTTAAAAATTGAGCGTGCAGTTCACATGTAATAATAAATTTGGTGGCAACATTAGAATATGCATATTTAACGTGGTATTAAGCATGTAACTCGATGAGACATACATCTTTGGTAATATCATTAAGGATATTAGGCTTGAGTTTCATTTCCGTGTAGACGGTGCCAACCAAATATGAGATCTCGCCCGGCTGAACATCCAGCACCTTTTCCACGTGTTTAGGCTTTGAAGGCAAAGAATCTTGAAAAAGAAAATCGGAAGTTTCAGGTGTAATAAAAGGGGAGCGTAACCATGATGTGAAATTAGCAGCCAATTCAGGTAAGACCCCATTACAAGCAATACATGACTATTTATTTGACTAATATCGCTTATATCTTACTCCATTGTTTCTTCGCCTGCTCAAGCACCTTAGGCCTCATAAGTACGAGTCGGGTAAAATACAAATGTGCATACTGAAGCCTATAATCGCGTGTTTTAACCAGAAAGTTATCTTGCAATGAGCTAAGATCATCGAATGCTGCCTTGCGACGATGAATGAGTGGTGTAGCCGTCTCCATAATGAACAATACAAAAAGATGTTGAACACATTAATGCCTTTTTCCTGTTTGTTGTTGCCAACATGAAAAATCGCTGTCACTTCATAGAGTCGATAGACAGAATTCCAGCCTAATAACAGACTGTCACGAATAAAGTTCCTAGCTTTCATAATGTGGATAATATGGATCACATTTCTCAGCTCTGTCATTGGGTCTCGCGAATCCTTCAATATACATCGTTATCCCAGTACAATTACGTCTCAAAAACAATAGCTGGCTTACAGCCGAAACTCTTGCTTGCGAACTATATTCTGTAAGTTTGTTGCAGCTGCTGCATGCATATCTCGTCTGAGTGCATATTAACAACACACGAACATGTGTGCAAAAGTGATAAATGATGTATTGGCACTCTAGCCTATGCAGTAATCATAGGATAGCACGTATAAAAAGCAATAAGGACTCGAACAATGCAATCCATATTCAATTCACCTTCATGCTTTTCATTCTTCGGTTACTATTTCTCGATAGTTACTAATATCCTGATAACGATCGTTCTATGGGGCCTGCTCTGGATGGGTTAAAATTGCACTTGACATCAAATCCGTCATGAGCCCTCGCTGTTAGAGATTACATACCGAGGCTTGGGAGTACATATGAGAGGCTCTTCCATTTTTATTCATAAGACCAGAACAATCATGGCAGGATTTTAATAAAGGCAACAACAATGAAGACAACTTTTGGTCTCCTTGCCATTCATAGCCTACAAACATTTTATTTTTTTATTTTATTGATGCGGTTGACCACCGGCAAATATGCGCTTTCTGATGTGTTTCCTACCAAGCCTTGCGTTCTGTCGATCAGCTGTTTGAGAAACTAAAAAGGGAACCAAGAC